TCTTTCTTTCTTTCTTTCTTTCTTTCTTTCTTTCTTTCTTTCTTTCTCTCTCTCTCTCTCTCTCCTTCCTTCCTTCTCTCTCTCTCTTTCGCTCTCCTTCCTACCTTCTTCTTTCTCTCTCTCCTTTCTTTCTTTCTCTCTCCTTTCTTCCTTCTTTCTTTCTCTCTTTCTCTCTCCTTCCTTCCTTCCTTCCTTCCTTCCTTCCTTCCTTCCTTCCTTCCTTCCTTCCTTCCTTCCTTCCTTCCTTCCTTCCTTCCTTCCAGTGTAAGTGCTATTCCTAGCGCTATCCCATTTTACGACCTTTCTTGCCACAGCTGTTGAGTGAATCCCTGCAGCTGATAGGTTAGTAACCTGGTCGTTAAGTGAATCTGACTGCTCCCATTCACTTGGCTCGTCAGAAGGTCACAAAAGCAGATCGCCTGACCTTTGGACACAGCGACCATCATTAAATACGAGCCAGTTTGGCAAGGCTTTGAATTTTGATGACATGGCCACGGGGGATGCTGGAAAGGTTGTAACTGTCAAAAATAGTCACAAGTCCCTTTTTTCAGTGCCGTGGTAACTTTGAGCGGTCCCTAAGTGGAACGGCTGTAAGTCGAGAACTAGCTGTAATTAATGAAAGGGAGGTGAAAGGTCATGGAGGTTGGCCTTTGTTCCGTCCCCGTCCTCAGTCTCTCTTAACCAGCATCTTCTCTGCCTCTCAGGTGTTCAAGTTCCTCTACGCTTGCCGGCTGGCTGAGATGGGACTCATTGCGCAAGCCTTCCATTACTGCGAAGTCATTTCCAAAGCCATCCTTACAAACCCCGGCTGCTATTCGCCGGTTCTTATCGCCCAGGTGATCCAGGTCAGCATCCTCTGCAGCAGCAGGATGACTCGCTTAAATCTTCGGGGGTGGGAGTAGGGCGGGGGCAGAAGCCAGGGTGTCAGGATTCCAGCAATCGCCCTAATTAAATCAGGACTCTCGAGCCAAACTTCAAAAAAAATCAAAGGATTTAATTGAGGTGTCATACTGGCCCTGCCCTGTAGGAAGCCAACTCTGGCCTACGTCATTTACAGCAGGGGTCCCCAACCACCGGGCCGCGGACTGGTACCGGTCCGTGGAACATTTCCTACTGGGCCTCCGGTCTGCTGGGCGCCGCCATCTTGTTTGATGAGAAAGTGCTTCCGGGTGAGCTTTTCCATTGGAAAGCGGCGTTTGGGTCCTGAAGGAATCCTCGCGCCTTAATCGAAGGGGGGGGGGGGCTTCGAACGAAACTAAGGCGCGAGGATTCTTTCAGCACCCAAGGCAAGGCGAACCGAGCAACCGTCCCGAAGCCGTCCCGAAGCGAAGCCCATCGACAAAGGTACAAAGGAGGAGTTGAAGGTGGCGGGGAGAAGCGGGGGACGGCTGGCTGGCCAGTCGCTTGGCTCGCCTTGCCTTGTCATGCGTGCTGATGCCGGTACCGGGCCGCGGATCATTTTGGGATGCCGGTACCGGGCCGTGGCACAAAAAAGGTTGGGGGCCACTGATTTGCAGTCCCCCTTGACCCTGTTTCCCCCCTGGGGGTCTCATCAACCAGATTCTCCAGTTGAGCACCTTCGCGGGCTGCGTGTCATCATTCACGTTCTCCAATTAAATATATTCACGGGCAGAAGCTCTGGTGTTTTAGTTACAACCTTTGAAAGAGAAAGAGTTGGAATGTACTTGGGCTTCCAAACTGCAGCACTGCTCTTCCAGGTTCCCTTTCTCTCCCCGCCTCCATTTTTTTTTTCACGGCAACTACTAAAACAGGCATAGGAATGTTTTATGAGTTGACACAGGGTTTCCTGCCCTTTTTCTGGGACCCCAGAGCTTAGCAGGGGCTTCAGAACACAGCAACCCCCCCCCCCCTTTCCGTCCGTACCCTCCCTTTGTTAACTCCAGATACGTGGGGAATCACAATTCCTGGGACCTCAGACTCTGACTGTTCTGGGAGAATTTTAATAGATTAAAAGAATTGGAAGGGATCTTGTAGGTCATTTAGTCCAACCCCCTGCCCAAACAGGAGACCCGACACCATTTCTGACAGATGGCAGTCCAGTCTCTTCTTGGAAGCTTCTAAGGATGAAGCTCCCACAACTTCTGTTCCATGGGTTGATGGCTCTCCCTGTCAGGAAATTCCTCCTTGTTTTCAGGTTGAATCTCTCCTTGATCTGTTTTCATCCATTCTTCCTTATCTGGCCTTTGGGTGCTTTGGAAAATAGCTTGACCCCCTCCTCCTCTCTGTGGCAGCCCCTCAAATATCGGAAGACTGCTCTCCTGTCTCCCCTGGTCCTTCTCTTCCCTAGACTAGCCAGGCCCAGTTCCTGCAACTGTTCATCATATGTTTGAGCCTCCAGTCCCCTTGTCATCCTGGTTGCTCTTCTCTGCCCTCTTTCTTGAGTGTCAACTTCTTTTTTATAGTGTGGTGTCCAAAACTGGATGCAGGGCTCTAGGTGTGGCCTTACTCAGGCTTTATAGGGTGGTAATAGTACCTCAGAGAGTAAGGCTGTCTTAGCTCCTGCAGGCAGATCCTGCTATTTCGCCTTTTCAGGATAAACTGGGCACTCCTAGGAAATGTCACGATACGACTTTTAAAATCCCCATTCTTCCTTTTACAGATTTCCTCTCAATTGCGGCTCTTTGACCCTCAGATAAAGGAGAAGCCTGAGCAGGAATTATTTATTGAGCCCAACTGGCTAATTCAGCTCCGACACTTGGACAGGCAGATTAAGGTGAGTTTCACGTCCTTTTGCATCAGATGGTCCGTTTTGTAGGAACGTCTTGAGGAAAAAAAAATATTATTTCCTTGCCAATGTTTTCTCTGTAACTGTAAAATGCTGGCTGGAGTCAGATCAGTCAAAATAACAACAACAGAAGTTAGTTAATAATCCCACCCTCCTGACAGACAATAATTAACAGACAAGATCATTCCAGATAGTGCTCAGTTCCTTTAGGGACCGTTCAAAGTTACAACCAGGGGTGGGATTCTACCTGGTCGGTCTTCTCTGAACTTTTCCCAAGACTTTTTCCAACTTTTTCCAGGAATAAAGAGCTTAGGTCAGCTAGACTGGAAATGTATAAATCCCCTACTTTAATTCCCAAGCGCCTTGCAATACCATGTGTGTATGTGCGCGTGCGCGTGCGTGCCTGGAACTAGACCGTGGCATTGAATGGCTGGTCTTGGCCGAAAGCGTCCACTGGCATCCGTCTCGTTCCAGGAGGGCTCCTTTGGTTACGGCCTCGGGAGAGTCACACCCCAGCAGTATTCCTCCAGCACGCCAAGCTCAGAGCATGACCACACCAGTCAGAACGAAAGCCTGGGAGGCGGCCTGGAAGTGAGCTCCAACAACCCGTTGTTGGCTCCCCTGCTGCCCAACATGATCCAGCCCGGGCAGAGTGTCCAGTTGATGCCTTCAGGTGAGTGCGTGGCTTCAGGGAGGCTTCCCTTCCTGGCGTGAAAGCATGGAACCCGGGGAATCAAATGCCCGGCAGCCTTGTGGGAAGCCGGGCAGCTACGTAGGGGCTACCCATTTGTTGGGAAGCATCCCGCTTGCTCCTTTGCTAGCAAGAGCCCTTAGACTTATATACCGCTTTAGAGGGCTTTACTGGCCTCCCTTACGTGGTTTACAGAGCCAGCCTCTTGGCCCCAACAATCTGGGATCTCATTTTACTGACCTCAGAGGGATGGAAGGATGAGTCAACCTTGAGCTGGTCAGCATCGAACTGCTGGCAGTAGGCAGAGTTAGCCTGCAATACTGCATTCTCACCACTGTGCCACCACAGCAGAGATAGAGAGAGAGAGAAAGAGAGAGAGAGAGAGAGAGAGATAGATAGATAGATAGACAGACAGACAGACAAATAGATAGATAGATTTGACAGACAGACTTATATATCACTTCACAGCCCTCTCTAAGCAGTTTTACAGAGTCAGCCTATTGCCCCCAACAATCTGGGTCCTAATTTTACCAACTTCAGAAGGATGGAAGGCTGCATCAATCTTGAGCTGATCAGGATTGAACAGCTGGCAGTCAGCAGGATTGGAATACTACATTCTAAGTACTGAGCTACCACAGCAGATAGGTAGGTAGGTAGGTAGATAGAAATAGCAAAAGATAAATAGATAGATAGATAGATAGATAGATAGATAGATAGAAAGATAGATAGAAAGATAGATAGAAAGATAGAAATAGATAGCAAAAGATAAACAGATAGATGATAGATAGATAGATAGATAGATAGATAGATAGATAGATAGCAATAGTTCTTAGACTTATATACCACTTCACAGTGCTTTTTTCAGCCCTCTCTAAGGGGTTTATAGAGTCAGCCTCTTTCCCCCAACCATCTGGGTCCTCTTTTTACCAACCTCGGAAGGATGGAAGGCTGAGTCAACCTTGAGTCTGGTGGGATTTGAACTGCCAAATTGCATGCAGTCAGCAGAAGTGGCCTGCAGCACAACACTCTAACCACTGTGCCACCAACCACTCTTGATGGTGGCCAAGCAACCGTCTGTCTGAATGAAGGATGCTGGCTGCTCTGAGGCCAGCTGTGGCCATCGCAGAGGGTGGCCTGCAGCGTTCCCTGGCTGCCTTCCAGAGCCCTCCTGCTCGTGTGCAGGACCCTAAAGGAACAGTCAGGGTCATTGTGGACTCTTGCTTTATTATGGGATGCAAACGCCGTTCTCTTTCCATCCTTTCTCTAGCTCCTCCTACCATCCTGGACGGCACCATGGCTCTGACCCCAACTTCCCAACAGGAACCTGCTGCTGCTGTTCCTTTCTACTCCATGGTACCTGCCTCTATGGGCCCAGGACCTGGCTCTCTGAACCCCTATGGAGCCGAGATGAACCCCATGTACAGGGGGCCAGCGGTGCTGCCAGCAGGTCTACCTCCTCAAGGCCCTGAGCTGCAGCCACACGAGGGGACCCAGCATGAAGCAGGTTTGCCTGGGTGGGGAATGGGTGGGGGAGAAGTCAGCCGGCAAATTCCCTTCCCTGCCCCATACTGCAGCAGGGGAGCCCAGCAGAGCCTGCAGTTTCTCTACAAAATTTCTAGGAAATTGCCGCATGGAGAGGAGAGTGAGAGAGAGGAAAGGATCCATTCAGGGCTTTTCCCATTGAAAAAAGCACGTTTAGGATCCCATCTTCCTTGGGGAATTCGGCAGAGAAGCTTCACTCCAGATACGTCCTTGCCCTTGGTTGCCCTTAGAGGTTCCCTCTAACTGTAGTTCCCACCTCAGATAGATAACTAGAGGGATTAGCTGGGAGTAGCTCCTCAATTGGGTGTCAAACACCAGGCCCATGAGCCACATCCAGACTGCGATTAGGTCTAATCTAGCCCCCATCCCTGGAAAATGTAAGGGGCCGGCCTGAGTCGCTTCGGCCTGGTCTACCCAATGCAAAGAGGAAACATGCCAGCAGTTTGGGGAGTGGTGTCAAGCTGGCCATGCCCACTCAGTTGCCCAGTGAGTGGCATCAAGGTGGCCTCACCTACCCAGTTGGCCACATCCACCCACTACCCCAAGGTCAACCACAGTCCTGATGCGATCCTCAATGAAATTGAGTTTGACACTTGTGATGACCCGGGACGTGTCACAAAGGCAATACAGTCAGATAATCAATAGGAGTCCCTTTCTTAGCTCCAACTTTGCCCCCAAAGTCCTGGTTACCCTCTGGCTGGAGAAAAACTCTCCCAGGAACCCCCTTTGGCTGTAGAGAATCAAGTCCAAAATGTGGTCAACAAAAACTGTAACTATAACTCCAATCAAGGCAAGATGAGGTAATTAGTTTGGCAGGGCAGGAGTAAGAATTCCAGATGTGAAGGCACGGCAGTAACTCAACATGGCTGGGAAGACGCCAGGAACACAGATAAGCGAAGTCAACACAAGATAAACTCACGTTTGCTCCCAGGAGCTGCCACAGTCAGCATGTGTTTCTTTTAAACTCTCTTCGCAGCTGTGGCTAATGAAGGGAATCAGGGCCCTTTCCTCCCCATAAGCCATGCACCCCACATTGCTCCCTTCTCCATTCCTCCCTGCGTGCCCTAGGAGGAAGAGGGGGGTGGACCTGGGTCTTCCTCTGAACTCCCTCTCCCTTGTTCTACCTCTCCCCTGCTCTGCCCAGCCGGACTTTGCCCTCCCCCAGTTTCCTCCACAGCCAACAGAGTCACACTCCTGCTCCCTGCCAGCTGTTCGTCTTCCTCCTGGGATTCAGACTCCAACAGGGGCATGGCAACATCCCTGTCCTAGATAAACCTGCCCTCACTGCATCACCAAGCCTTGAATCTGGGGGCCCACGGGGATTCGTTCATTCGTTCATTCATTCATTCATTCATTCATTCATTCATTCATTCATTCATTCTGTCTATCATAGCCACTCCTCTCAGAGGCAGGTGGCTCTTTTCTCTCTCACTTGGGAGCAACAAAGTTGACCCGTCCTTCTCTCTTTCCCTCTTTGCATGATCGCAGGGGTGGCTGAACCTCCCGTATGGAAGGCCGTTCCAGAAGAAGACTTCTACGCGAAGATGGCAAACATGGTACTGGCCAGTTTCTTTCTCTCTCTCTCTCTTTATTAGTGGCCTTCATTGTGCGGCCGCATGGAGCCTGAGGGCTTGTGGGAAGTTTCCAAGCCTGCCGTGCGTGCTCTGGCTTAATTTGGGCACGTTACTTCCGGAATGCCAAAATGTGTGGAAGAGGTTCTAGAGCCGTGGTGGCTAACCTTTTGGGGCTCCTGTGCCAAAAATTGTGCACGTGCTTGCGTGCTTGCATGCTCGCACTCGCATGCCAGCACCCAGAAGGCAATGCCTGCCCCCACATCCCCTACACATGTGTGCAATCCCACCTACCCCCCTTACCTGTACTGCGCTTCCCGGCTGATTTTCGGCCCCCCAAAGGCTTGAGGAAGGCTTCTGGAGGCTTTGCAGGCTGAAAACTAGCCCCGTTTTGTCACTTCTGGTATTTCCGGAAATACCAGAAGTGACGAAACAGGCCTATTATCCGGCCCGCAAAGCCTCCAGAGGGCCTTCCTCAAGCCTTCGGGAGGCTGAAAAAGGCTTCAAACCACCCAAAAATCAGCTGGGAGGCGCGCGCATGCTCAGTAAGGTAAGTTTGCCTGCAGCTCACGTACTGGCACAAATGGCTCTGGGTGCCACAGGTTCGCCATCACGGTTCTAGAGTGACCCTTTCTCTGAGCGCCTTCCGAAAGAAGTCCCTGGTCCTCTTGGGCCAGCCACACATTGCCTGCAAAGCTGTGGCGATGGGGCTGATGGCCTCGGGGTACCCCTGGGGCCTGGGCACCACAGGCAGGGTGAACCAGGAGCCCCAGCTTCCTGCATCCCTTCAGTCTGGAGGTCGGGAGCCGAATCGTCTGGTGAGTAAAGAAGATCCGCGCAGGAGTGTCCCGGTTGTCTGTTGTCTTTTTAGTTTTCTTGTTTGCAGCGTGACAAATCCACTCCTGGGATCTGAGCTGGTGGGACTTTTGCTGCCCACGGCGGTTCAGGTCTGGTCTTCGCTGCTTGTTCAGGTGCTTGACTTGTCTTTCTGTCCAGGGCCCAGGCCGACGGTCCCGATCGACCTCCCAGTCTTCGGCCCACATGGTATGCCCCCGAAACTGATCGATCTAATCTTCTCCCTCCGCTTATCTATCCTCCTCCTTCCGTCATCACTTCTCATCTCCGTTGCTTGTTCGCCGTTTTTTTTCCCCCTCCTTCCTCCTCTTCCTTCTTAATGACTTTGTTGAAGACGTTTCCGCCAGAAACGTCAGCCAGAAACTGAACTTGGTTGTTATGTGACGACAGGGCCTGGGGCGACGTTCTCGGACGACCTCGGAGTCCTCCGTGCATTCTGTCGGCCGGGAGAGGCGAAACTCCGCCGCCAAGCAGCCTTCTCCGCCCCCACCCTCCATCCCCGAAAGGAAGAAAACCCCCAAAGAAGCCAAGAAGGAGCTGGCACCTCAAAAAGTGAGCCGTAAACCTTAACGCTAAGCAGAAACACTTAGCTGTGCCTCCTTCCTTCCTTCCTTGATAGAAAGAAATATAATTGAATAAAAGTGAAGGGAGAAATAAGGAGAAATTTGGAAAAGATATATATGTGTACATGGAAATGTGATAATGTGGAACTATGTCTTAAAAAATAATGCTCTATTTGCTTTGTTAAAATTTATAAGTAATTCTTAGAAAGGAGGCTTTATACTTTGTTTTGTTTGTCTTCAAAAATCAATAAAACTTGTTCTTAAAAAAAAAAGAGTGAGCCATAAACCTTAACGCTAAGCAGAAACACTTAGCTGTGCACACACACACACACACAGACACACCCCGCCGAGAGAGTTCGCTCTTCCTGGCTTGGCTCCGATGCCTTTGCCAACCTCAGTGAAACTTTCTGGAGGCCTCCATCTCTCCTTCCCCCCCCTCACAAGCTTAACCCTTCCTCCTTCAAACTTAAACTCAGAAACTGGTCTGGAATCTCCAGAAAGTGGGGACAGGTGTGGGATCCCCAAAAAATGTATGCTTCCCCGTGGGCCTACTCATGGTAGCAAGGCTTAGAGTCCTGTGGAGAGTTGGGACTTCACTTGACTCCTGCTTACCTCCGAAGTCCCTTCCAACTCGCTCGGGCAGGGTTTCCAATGGGGGCACTAAGCCACCTTTTACCTAAGGGTGGCATTGAAGGAGGAGAAAGGAATCCCGGTTTCTCTTTCATCAGGATTTGCCTCCTGCAGTCTTTCACCCACAAAGCTGCTTCCTGCTGGTTCATTCCTGGCACCACACTAACAGCTGCTCATCTGGAATGGGGGATATTGTGGAGCCAGTGAGCTGAGACCACGAAACTATAACAGCCAGCAACAAATTTATATTTAAATTATAGAGTTATGGTCATAGCTGCTATTATGCTGAAGGATAAAAGACCCTCCAAACGAACTAAAAAAACTCTTTTAAATATTATTTAAACGTTGAAATCAGGTTAGGGTTAGGATTCGAAAATCCCAGCAACCGGTTCGCTGTCTGGTTGCTGGGTGGGCGGGGCCACAGTGGGCGGGCCCTACTGGAACTTCCTGTTTCTGGCTTCTGATGGGCCCCCAGAGCCTGGGGGAAGCCGCTTTCGCCCTCCCAAGGGTCCAGAGCAGTGGTGGTGTTCAGCTGGTTCGCGCCGGATCGCACCGGATCGGGTGAACCGCTAGCAAGGATTTGGCGTGGGTCCGGTAGTAAGTTCTGGCTGGCCATGCTCCCAATCCGGTCGCCCTCCCACCCAGTGCTCGCTTACCTGCCCGCCTGACATTCACCTAAGGTATTTCTTTTCTTTTTTTTCCCTCCCGACAGTCAGCTGTGCATAGATCACCTGTGCAGGGATGCTCCTTGATGAGGCCCAGGAAGGCAAAAAATGGAGGGGGGAGCTCAGCCCCAGAGGAGCCTTAGGGGAGCGAAAACGCCTCCTCCCGCCCCCGAGGCTCCTTTGAGGCTAGGAAGCTCCGAAAAATGCATGGGGGGTGGCAAAAAAAGCCACACCCACCCAGTCAAATGGCCATGCCCACCAAGCCACGCCCACAGAACCGGTAGTAAGAATTTTGAACCACACCACTGGTCCAGAGGCCTCCCCCGGGCCTTTGGGAGGGTGAAAACAGCCTCTCCCTGTCTCTGGAGACCCACTGGAAGCTGGACTTCCGGACTTCCAGAAGGCCTGTTTTTCCCCCCCTCCCAGTGTCAACTCATAAAATATTTCTCTGGTCTTTTTAGGGTTGCCAACAGAAAGGGAGGGGGCAGCAGTGCAGCAGCTTGCAAACCGAAACTGCGTCCCATAAATGTTTTCAAAGATAGTAACTAGGTGACCGAAGTTTCTGCCATGCAAAATTCTAACTGGAGAGCCTGATTGATGACTCTGGGCTATGGAGGTGTCCCGTTGGAGAATATGAATTACGATACACGCAGGGGATGGAGGGGAAAACCAGGGTCAAGGCTGACAATGAATGATGTGTCTCAGAGTCGGCTACACCCAGGCAGTGCCGGACATGTTAACTCCCAATAAATCCTTTTGAAGTTTTGGAAGTTTGGCTCGAGACTCATGATTGAATCAGGGTAACTGCCGGAATCCTGACACCCGTCCGCGCGGAGCCTGCACTTATCACTACCGAAAATGGGCTGTGTGGAGACTCCTGGGAGGGGTGGGACAGGGTGGGCGGGGCCAGCTGGTCGGTTGAATTCCCGGTTCGGCGAACCAGATGCAAAGTGAACAATCTGGTTCGCCCAAACCGGTAGAATCCCATCCTTTAGGGAGGTGCCGGGGGAGAGACGCACATTGTACTAAAAGAAAGTATGATTACCGTTTGTTTTTTTTCCAGAGCGGCAGCCACTGGCTTCGTTGGCTCATGGGGAAAAGCAAAAATGAAGCCCATCTTCCGGATGACAAGAACAAGTCGGTAAGGAAACCGTTCACATTCCACTGGCATTCTTGGGCATTATTTTCTTCCCTTTTTAATATGCAATTCCTAGCTATAGCGTTTGGCCTTGGGACCTTTAAAAACAAACACTTTTTTTCATGCAATTTTTTTTAAAACAATGTCAAATGGCACCAATTCCAGCCTCAGAGGAAAAAAAGAAACTTTCAGGATTGGCAAAGAAAGTTGGAAAAATGCTTCTACGGAGAGGCAAATTTAGACATTGGCACTGTGGTTTCTATCAGGCAGACCCCAAACCATCCCTAACAAGAACTAGTATTTATTTCACTTCACTTATTCATTAAATTTGTATGCCACCCATCTCACGATCAAGCTTACCCTGGCTGGCTTCCAATACCAGAAATAACAAAGTAAAACAGTTACAGGATGAAAACATAGGGCATTAAAAGGGAAAAAAAACATTAAAACCAATGTTGCGAGTGGATAAAAAGAGTCAATGCATAGACTAGGACCTATTAGCAACCAGTCGTGTGTGCAGCTTATACCCAATGTAGGAAAATTTTGTATCTTTAGAGAAATAGTTTTTTCTTCATTAATTAATTAATTAACAGGCAAAGGAGATCACAGTGTCTTGGAAATTTAAATAAAAGAGGGACAATCAGCTCTGGGATGAATGTCCCTGTGGACCTGGCCAATACCAGTATCACTTCACAGCATTGGGTTCCATAGGGGCGTCCCTATATTTCCCTTCCGGGATAGCGGCGGGGAAAGCATTAGATGGAGCTGAAGAGAAGGCTCTCCTTATTTGGGAACTGTGATATATAAATGTGAGGCTGGATTAGGCACTAATACTTACCTAGTTGTGATTTAGATTATGCAAGAAAGCAGCAATTTCTTTTTCAACCTTCTATATCTAGTATAGCAATGGATATGCCTTAGTGTTGATCTGGCTTGATCTAACTCTGAAGTTCAGGTAGCACCACTTGGAGAAACCACAGAGGGTTATTTTCCTTGGGAATCTCTGCTCCCTGGGAAGGTTTGCAGTTGTCTGGGAGAAGAGGGATCTTGGAGTCTTAGTGGACAACCAGCTAAGTATCAGCCAGCCGTGTGCAGCGGCAGCCAAAAAAGCCAACGCAATCCTAAATTGCATTAACAGAGGGATACAATCAAGATCAAGAGAGGTACTAATACCACTCTATAAAGCCTTAGTAAGGCCACACCTAGAGTGCTGCATCCAGTTTTGGTCATCACATTATAAAAAAAAGATGTTGAGGCTCTAGAAAGAGGGCAGAGAAGAGCAACCAAGAGATTGCCAAAACATACGATGAAGGGTTGCAGGAACTGGGTATGGCTAGTCTAGTGAAGGACCAGGGGAAACATGATAGCAGTCTTCCAATATTTGAGGGGCTGCCGCAGAGAGGAGGAGGGGGTCAAGCTATTTTCCAAAACACCTGAAGACCAGACAAGGAACAATGAATGGAAACTGATCAAGGAGAGATTCAACCTAGAAATAAGGGGAAATTTCCTGACAGTGAGACCAATCAACCCTTTGAACAGAAGTTGCCTTCCGAAGTTGTGGGAGATTCATCCCTGGAGGCTTTCAAGAAGAGGCTGGACTGCCATCTGTCAGACATAGTGTAGGGTCTTCTGCTTGGGGGTGGGTGGGACAGGGACTAGATGACCTACAAGGCCCCTTCTAACTCTGTTAATCTGTATCTCTCTGCCAATATTTCGTTCACCAAGGTTTGCTGGGTCGCTATGATTTCTAGAAAAAAGGTTATGAGACTAATGAAGTAATAGATGAAAGGACTTAAATCAGTTCAGCAATAATCTTCAATGTTCAATATGAAGCATAACTATGCTGTGCTGATTTTGTGGGCAGAGGTTAGACAAACAAACAAGGGAAATTAGGGAATGAGCCCTAGAAAGTTTTCCATAATATATTAGCTTCTGCTTAGTCTGCTTTTTTTAAAAAAACGCTGTTATCTAAGGGAGACTGTTTTTCTTTGCATTGGATTATTCTAACAATCTGACATGTGTTTAAGTAGAAAACACACGGGCAGGTTTAGGCAGCTGAATCCGGCTCCTCTCGGAAAAGCGTAGCTTCGTTCTTTTTTATCCATCTGCAGATTGTTTGGGATGAAAAGAAACAGCGGTGGATCAACCTGGATGAACCCGAAGAGGAAGTAAGCGTCGCAGCCAGTTCAGAAATGAGTTGGCAATGTCTCAAATGGGAATGGAGACGGAGATTGCATCACCAATGAGCGCAATGCACACCGTGCTCCAAGTCCCCTTTTCCCTCTGCTTTAGACACACACACACACACACCTGTGCATGTCATCATGGAAAAGCAACTTTATTCTTGGGAGGGTCTTCTACTTTCTCTGCTATTCTAGCCTGCCTGTTTTCCTCCCATCCCTTTGTCTCCCGTGCTTGAGGGGCTCTTGCGAAAGCCGTCTCGTGGTTTTCTCCACCAGACGTAAAGGAGACCCAACACAGACCTGTGTTAGGAAAGGGAAAGCTGTCTGTTAAGAGATTTGGATTTCACGGGCTGTTTCTCCCCCCCACCCCTCTCTCTCTCTTTTTAGAGCAAACCCCCTCCACCTCCCCCCACCGGGTTTCCTCAGGCTGCTCCCTCTGGATTAGTAGGACCTCCCAATGCCTCCGTCAACGTGTTCTCCAGGAGAGCAGGTACCTTGTACGGTTGGAAAACCTATCCTGGAAATGGCCAACGACGGGAAATAGAACGAGGTTCCAGGGCCACCCAGTGTGAAATAGCAATAGCATTTGGACTTCACAGTGATTTTGCAGCCCTCTCTAAGTGGTTTACAGAGTCAGCCTATTTTCCCTAACAATCTGGGTCTTCCTTTTATCCACCCTGGAAGGATGGAAGGCTGAGTCAGCCTTGAGCTGGTGAGAATCGAACTGCTGGCAGCCAGCAGAGTTAGCCTGCAATACTGCATTCTGACCACTGCACCACCACAGCTCTTAGATAGATGATAGATAGATAGATAGATAGATAGATAGATAGATAGATAGATAGAT